AAGAAAAGAGTTATGGGTTGTATTTCAAGATATGCAGAAAGCATATAGTTCTGTATTAGTAGAAATGTTAATGTTAGCCCTCAAGAGAATCAAGCTTCCCGCCACAAGTATCAAATTAATATATAGTCTTTTTAGCAAAAGACAGATGAAAGTAATAGTACAAGATGGCTATATATCACCATTCAAGGCAGGTAATGGTATCAACTAGAGAAAGTGATATCTCTAATCATTTGGCAAATTTTCTATGATCCACTTCTTTGTAGAATACAGAATAATAAATCTTTTGGTTATAAATTTGAAACATGTATCCCAGAAGATATAACAACAGTGGCAGAAACAAGTTTGTATGAGGCAGGCAGCAATAGCCTATGCTGATGATATGACTTGGCTAGCTAATAGCAAAGCAGAGATGGAAAAAATGCTAAGAGTTGCAAATGAATTTTATATAATTAACGATATACAGATAAATAGCAAAAAATGTAATCTGGTAGTAATAAACTGCAAAGATAAAGACTACGAGGCTAAGAAGGTACAATTCAATCAAGACAAAATTAGAGCCACCAAAGATAGCACTGCAGTGAGAATACTTGGTATTTGGTTAAGTAGAAAGTTGAAAGAGTCTTTAGTAAGAGACAAAGCCAAGGAAATTGTCAGACAAATGACCTTAACATTATAGTAGAAAAAGCTAACAATAAGCCAATTAGTATATATAACAATATGGTTTTACTACCAAAACTTAGTTATATCTTGCAAGTTAGTAAACTTAGTACCCAGTTAGTTGAAAAGATCCATCAACCATTTATAAAGCTAGTCAAAAGCAAATTAGAATTAGTCTGAATAGTCGAGAATAGTATAATCTTGTATAAAGATTTGGAAGGTTACAAATCACTAGAACGAGAAATTGTAATTAAGCAGTTAATTGCTCTACAAAATAGACTAAACAGTACATGAGTTGAAGGGGTAGTAACACAAATCTGAGTTAAAAAGGTTTTTTAAAATGCAGGTCTGACTAGTATATTTTGGCAGACAGAAGATGACAAACAGCTAAGCAAGTTGTGAAAGAATAATTTGGCATATACAGCATTACTAAGAGCAAAAAGAATAGAGTTGATAATAGATAATTTAAACTCTTTGTAAAACATAAAGGATACAGGTACACCTTTGAGCAAGCTGCTATTAAAAGAAAACATAAGTGAACTTACGAGAGAGTTGAAAAAATTAATGATATTTTATACATCACAAATCATTGATTATACCAGAAATCGACTACTAACATGGTAGCAAATTAAGTTTATAAGAGGGAAGTCTAGCTGAGGTAAGAAGATGAAGTGGTTTGAAGTAATAAAGAAATTGTTGCTACAAGACCAGCTTTTGAGACAAGTAAAAGCTGAATATATTAAAAGCAATCCAAATAAAAGATCAATTGTCTATCTAGAAAAAGCAATCTCTAAAGACAAAAGAGTTAAAGAATGGGTGCTATGTGAAATTGAGAACAAGAAAAGAAAGATATGCAGAGTGCAAGAGAAAGAGAAAACAAGAGTTAGATTAGAGAAGTTTGAGATCAAAGACAGTAAAAACAAGAAGAAAGGTGAATACAATTTTGGCTCGATTTTAGAGAAGACACTAGAAGAAGACAATAATAGTTGCTAGAATAGCAAAGACAGAATAATAATAAGCTTACCCAAGCCAAGTATAAAAGAAGAAAAAAGAAGGTACCTATTGTCGATAGCTCTTTTCTAAAACATAGTAATGGCCAATAAAAAAAAAAAGGATTAAAGATAAAAAAACAGTAGTTATAGTTGCAATTGAAGAGTCATTAGAAATAGAATTGATTAAGGATATATAATTAATCTAGAGCTATAGAAAGTACTTATAGAACAATTTAGTATAAATAAGAAGCAACCAGAAAAGGCATTTCTCTTCTATACAGATATTCATTAAAGACAAATAAGTTAGTAGTAGCAATAGAGGCAAGCTGGTTGTGCTTTCGAGAAGATACATCTAAGATAGTATTTGAAGGATATTATAGAATAAAGAAATAGCTCTCATTAATGAAGCCAAAACTATCAGCAATCCTCTTTGTACTTCTAACAGTTCCACAGAGGTGCAAAGTTAAAATTCGAACAGATAGTATAGCAGCAATAGCAGGCTTGACAAAGCAGCCTAGACTCCAAGAGGAGAAGAAATAGTCAAGATCAAAGAACATTAATATTAGAATAGGTATTTTAGAGGTAGTCAAAGTTAAATGTATAGATTTAGTATTAGAAAAGGTGAAGAGTCATAGTGAGAAGCAATGAAATGATAGAGTGGATATTCTGGCAAAAAAAAATGCAGAGCATGGTCAAGTTACAGATATTGTATCAACCTATAACAACTAGATAAGATTCTAGTAGCAATAGAAAGATACCTAAATTGAGTTAAGCCCAAGAAACTTTCTTAAGAAACTGTTTCAAGCAAAGACAGCAACAAGATTAAGTTTATTTCACTTAAGCAAGTCAGCGATAACAGAAGAGAAGAAAAAAAAATTTAGGTAGAATCTCTTCTGGTTCTATTTAAGTAACTTCACAGGCTACAAATGCAAGTCTTTTAAGAAAAGTAAAAAACTAAATTTCTGGTTCAAATTAATTATGAGCTAGCTGCTAGTGTTGCAGAAACTACAGCAAAGAAAATCAGAAATTTATACTAAAGCTAATTGCAAAGTGTATAGTAGAGGGGCTAGAGAAACACTAGACCATATATGAGTATGCAAAGCACAAGAACCCAACTGGCAAAACATAAAAGCAGTGACAACAAAAATAGTATGGGACAAACTACCCAAAGAGGCAAAAAGTGATTTAAGTCTAAACAGTTTTAGAAAGATTTTAATCAGACTTAGCAAAGAAGAAAAGGCACAAGCCAGAGAAAGTTTAGTAAAAGGTCTATGTAGAAAGAAAACATACAAGAACTTAGAAGATGCAGTGAAATCCAAGAAGATAGTAGATAAGTATCTGAAAAATGTTTTTTATATCTTTAGAAATGGGTGTTTTGATTTTATATAGAAGGAGAGATGCTACAAAGTAAATCAATAGGAAAGACAAGAAGGTATTATAGCAAAGCAGAAGAGACAAGAGACAAGACTGGACAATGCATTCAAAAAAAGGAAAAGCACAAACCACTTAGCAAGAGCAGCAAAAAGATATCTGTCTAAAGAAGAAAAGGAGGAAAAACTAAAAAGAATCCAGCAGAGAGCAAGTGAGATCAAAAAAGAGGTGGAATGATGCAATTGAGAAGATTATAAATAACGGTTCGAAGCTGTTTTGGTTTGGCTCTTAACAGGGCTGACAATATCTTCTGCTCTATGTATAGGGTAGTGCGACAGATCGCATCTAGGTACTCGAAAAGCAACTAGATGATGCCGAATCTATTTAGATAAATAATGTATGTAATAACATATGTAAATTTAATTATCTAGTAATGACAAGACTGTCAAAGAGTTAAAAAAAAAAAAAAAAAAATTATTTAATCAAAATTTTCAAAAATATTTAGAATGTGAATTAAATAATTTGTCTTCTATTAATATAGCTTTAAACTTTAAAAAAATAACAAACTTAATAACATATATAGAACAAGTTGCTTAAAAGTAATATTTAGCTTAATATAAACAATTTAACAAATAATCTTACCCAGTATTTGAATAAGGTTACTTTACCAATAAATGGGATCTTTGCTAGAAAAATGACCCTACGAGCCATTGTTACACAAGATTTTTATTAAGAAAAACATAATAAATCTATTTTTAAAAAAAAAAAATCCTAGCAAAGATCCCAAATATTAACTCTTTGGAATAGTGAAAACTTAATGTTTTCTGTTTTTCAGGTATGTTACAAATAGCAAAAATTTCCTTGCAATCCAGGCAATATTAGTGCCTTCTAAACAAATATACTTGAAAGCAGGTGACACTATCCAGGCTAAATGTGCACGTCTTTCTAAAAAAAGCATATAGTATTAATGTGTGCTGTCTCATGGTTGAAACACAGCAATAGATTTATTTTTTAAGATAATTTTTTAAAAAAATTGTTTATTAAAGCTTTTTTTTTTAAAAAAAACAGTTTATTTTTTAAAAGTTTTTTTTTTTTCTTTCAAAAAATTTTTTTTTAAAAAAATTTTTAACTATACGTTCTTGTACTACTGTATGTTCTACATGCTTGCAAAATATAAATTATAATAAAGATATATGTATATGCATACATATATTTTCTCTAAATAAATTTCCGCCAAATAAATTTTTTTTTTATAATGATAATAGTAATCAAATTGAACCGCTGGCTCGGCTAAAAGTAGCTCAGCTACATTATGATTGAGCTGTAGCCGAGCCGGAGCTAGCCGTTTGCATCACTATCGACAAGTATTCTACCTATGTGACTGTTGTCACAATAGATTACAATTCATGGCTGCCGTCCTGACAGGCCAGTCAAATCAAGGACTGTGTTACTTTGGGGTAAGGAGGAAGGGATCGATGTAACCAGAACGAAAATCTGGTTCGCTGAAAAGACAAAATTGACATAACGTTTCCATTTACTAATTACCTCATCTTACTTTACTAATGGCACTAAAATAAACCTTAATCATACTTCCATCACTGATCGCATTATTAATTACCTGATTACTTACGATCGAACGATCGATCGAATGTGTAACCGTAACCAGTTCTGTCACATGTTCGATTGGGATTCGACATGCATTCTTATTAACTAGCATTTAGTCAACAACGTAATTTTTTTACGTATAAAAAAGAATTTACTAAATTTGAAACTGCGTATATAAGTAGTGAAGTTATCTGTACAGAAATGAGCATGGCATATTCGTATAATTTGCTTCTCTTTTACGAACTTAGAAAGGTAAAACTGAAATGTTGTTTATATGCTAAAAGCTATACGTTTTAAGTTTTTTGAAAATTAATTTTATATTTTACTTGTGAAATGTTATATTTTCGAAAAAGTACTCTATAAGACCGAACAAATTCAGCTGCGACTGCTAGAAAAATTAACTGTATCCTAAATAACAAAAATGAAAGAAATTTAATTAACCTTTACCACGAAGTTACCAATAATTAGATAAATGATAAAGTCAAATTCTAGATTTAGATTTTGCGAATATTTACGTATTTACAATAGTTTTTTATTGTAAAAGACGAATGAAAAAAAAAAAATTACTGAAAAGTTGCAAATCTTTAAAGGATGTAACCAATGAATATTATTTTTTCTGCCTTGTGAAATTGTATTCAAGCATGACTTCTATTTTTTTTTAATATCTCTATTTCTTTCTCTAAATTTGCAACCTTATTATCCGTTTCTTCAACAAGTTCTGCGAATTCTAATTTCCACCATACAACTTGTAAACCGATATAGGTTATCGAACCCCATAGAAAAAGATTAGTTAAAGGGGTTCCATAAACATTCCAAACAGTTAATTTCTTTGTGGATGGTGCGACGATATTAGCAGTTGATTTTAGACGAGATATCATGGGGGGTTTTGTCGTACGAATGAAAAGTTTTAGCATAATGATAATGTATAATGATAAATTTTTTTTTTGGTGCAAGGCTTTGTTTTGTGTAAAATTTATATAAAATTTTAATTAACCAATCATTACTTAAAAAATCTAATCATATTCGTAGCCAATGAAATAGACTTCCCAAGGCATATCATTAACGTTAATTATTATTGCTATGGATAAGATGTTTCTTTTTTAAGAAAATGTTAACGCGTAAATTTACATTGATATGCCAACATAACGGATCAACTTTTCAAAAAAAACAATAGACCCAATCCCAACCCTTAGTTTTTCGGGTTTACGACATTAGGGGTAGTATAAAAGAATATTCGCTAGAATTTATTTGTACCTACTTTCATTGTTGCAGTTCCTGATAAATATACATTAGCATTCGCTAAAAATTTATTTGTACTTCCATTTATACATACCAGATACGTATCGTCATTGTTGTTATCTGCTATTATTTTCACGTAGATCATGCGTAATTATAATATCACGTAAATCATGAAATCATATATTACTATGTTTGTCAAAAATGAACTTAATAAAATAATTTCATTTGCATACACAAATCCTCGCAAAGAAAAAAGCATTTTTTGATCTCCATAGACTACATTCATATTCTTCATACTCATAAAAATGTCTATTAATCCAAATTCTCTAAAAACTAAGAAGAAGCCAGAATTAATAAGTATGTAAAAAAACTTTGGGATTTTTATATTTTTGTTTTTACCTTCTAGTTTCTTCGTCGTTTAAGATCTGTTCAAACAATAAATGGTTCTGTTTCCATAGAACTCGCTGAAGAGCTTGGTTTAAATTCGACTGGTGTTCGCAATGAACTTATAGAGAGGATTAGGTACTAAGTTATATTATATTCTATATCTGCTCTTGTATTGATCTTATTTCTTTATTTAGAAAACATTTGGAAGTAAAAAATGATGAAATTTCTACGGATATTGATCCAATAGGTACTTCGTCAAGTCGTCCAGATCCTAAAGATAGCAGCAGCAAACCGCCCACTGAAAGACAAGTTATTTCTTCTTCTCCAAATGGTGAAAGGTTCGCGGACACAAATTAACTGTGGTATTATTCTACTTTGTAAACTTATCTTATTTTATTAATTTTAAGAGAACCAGATGAGTCTGAAACTTCTGATAGTGATAGTAGGCAGGTGGGATCATCACAAATCAATTTTAGCTTTATTTATTGTTTGATCAACTATCTGACTTTAGCTGACTTCGAAAATTTAGCAGGAAATTACTATCAATGCTAGATCTCAAGACACATCAAGCTCTGAAGAATCTAATTTAGAGTATAACACATCGCGTAGTGTACCAATAGTAAGGGTTCCGGAGGTTCAAGTTATAAATGAATTTCTACTTCGGCTTAGAAATGTGTGTATTCAAAACTAGCATACTACCTATTTAAAGTGTTATTTCTTACCGATATTTATAGCGATTTGTTCTATTTCATCTTTTAGAACGTTTCAAATTCGCGGACATTTGTGCAATGCGTTATACTATGTGAACTTGTGGTTTTTTTATATTGTGCGATCGAATGGAATTTTAAAGTTCGTTAATTTTATCTATATATGCTAAATTTTGTATTGACGCTTCTCATTCGTTAAGATTTCCATATATTTGTTTTTTTTTATTACAGATTGCCACAGTTCCTATTCCATCTTTCTTTAACAAAGACTCCTCGAGAGATGTATATGATATTAGTATTCCTAATTTCCTCTTTATTATTGAATGGCATCGTTTTTGGCGTCCTTTGATTTCGTTTTTGTTTTATCTATTTTTATTACCACTTTGCTTCTCATATATATTCAATCTTGAGCCCCATCGACACGTATATAGTCCACTTGCTTTTTCTGTTGCACAATATGGAATATTTTTTACCACTGCTGGCCACTTCGATTGGGCCGAGGACGTGCGCGATTTTATTCCTGACAACCTTATTTACACTGGTGTCGGATCTGCTGTGATTTTTTCTCTTTATGAGAGTATTTTGAGTAT